AACAGTTAGTGAATTCCAGATCTAGCTTCACTTTGCCTAGCGTGGATGTGCAGAAACGCTACACGTTCCGTGTTCAGAGCCGCCACAACCCATATTGTGGAAGTTGTCTGCATTGGAGTGAATGGAGCCACCCAATCCACTGGGGGAGCAATGCTTCAAAGGGTAAAACGGACCTAATACCTGACCACAATCCATGAGCCCAGTACCCCAACTTTTTTAACACCACTCTTGCTCTATCCCCAAACTAGGTGCCCCGTCTCCCTCTCATTGTTCAACTCCAACCACTAGGAAGCAGAGTTGGGTTGGTGTGTTGGTTAGAGTAGGAGAGTGGGTTGGGAAGGAAGCCAGGGGGGGACTCAGGGGGGATACAGAACATGTAGGATTTCCCTCCAGCATTCCCAGAGAGCCTGCATTGTGAGGATGACTGGAACCAGACAGATCTAGGCTGCGCCACATACTACTTCGTTGGCCTCGGCCTCATCACTATCTTCTTCAATTCTAGTTCCTCATCTGTAAAATGGGGGTAATAATAATTGCTCCCTCTCAGAAGGTATTGTGAGGATCAAGTATAGCGAATGTTTAGCATAGTGCCTGATGCCAAATGTGGGCACATAGTAGGAGCAACACAAATGTAAGGTCCATTTTCCTTTCTTTTTTTTTTTCTGTAGAGAATCCGTCGTCATTTGCATTAGAAGCTGTACTTATCCCCCTTGGCTCCATGGGGTTTATTATTAGCCTCATCCTTGTGTACTGCTGGCTGGAATGGTGAGATTTTGCAAAATCTAGGAAAATGAGGTGGGGGTGGGTGGTTGGGAACAGCCAAGGTGGGTTATTGCTGGGCCCCCAGGAGCAGAGGGTGAGACAGTAAAGAATGTGGCATGGTGATGGAAGGAAGCTACAGGCACAGAGAACACAGAATGCCTTCATTCCACACGGGACAATGGGGAGAAAGGTCATAAAAGCACTTTAACCGATGTGCTCCTGCTCCTTCTTTCTCTCCCCTCAGGACGATGCCCCGGATTCCCACCCTCAAGAACCTAGAGGATCTGGTTACTGAATACCAGGGGAACTTTTCGGTAAGAATTCTGTCCTGAGCATACTGCAGTCAGTCAACTGCCAACTGCCTGCCAGGAAGACAGTGTGAGGGAGGCTGAGGGGAGGGGAGTGAAGGGGGCAGAGAGGAAGGGGAAGGTGGTCTGTACTAACTGTCAGGATGTGGCCAGCCAAATAGGGAATGGGCTAAACAGAGACAGATACACAACAGAAGAAAGGATTATAGATTGGGCGAGGCAGATGTTCACCACAGTGGTATGGGGGTGGGGGGCGCGTGTAGGAACCTGTGTGTCCCTTCCATAATCACAGTGGTTGCAGACATTATGAGAACTCCTTTGGCACAGAGCCTAGATCTTTTACTTCCTGCCCTGAACTGCCCCCTGACCTGGAGATATTTGTCTTTAGGCCTGGAGTGGTGTGTCTAAGGGATTGACGGAAAGTCTGCAGCCAGACTACAGCGAACGGCTCTGTCACGTCAGTGAGATTCCCTCAAAAGGAGGGACCCTAGGGGAGGGGCCTGGGGGCTCTCCCTGCACCCAGCATAGCCCCTACTGGGCCCCCCCATGTTACACTCTGAAGCCTGAAACCTGAGCTCCAATCCCCTGACAGAACCCCAGGATCCTGTAGCTTCAAGTGGATCCCCTCATCAAACTAGTCTGAGTCTGATGCTCACCTCGCCCTCCTGTGGCTGATTTAGAATTTTGTACCCCTTTGTTCAGTATCCCCTACTTGAGATTTGCCCCTTTGCTCTATATGTGTTGCTTTTTTTATTCTCCCCAATCCAGCCCTCCCTTTCTCCCTCACCCCTCCCTTCCTCTTCTATTTGCTCTTTAATTGTTTCTGAATTAATGAGAAATAAAGTTTCTATTGATAATCATCAAGAATGTCTGTCATGGAGATGGGGAGCAGGGGAAACGTGGAGTGCAATGAGGGTGGGAGGCACAGTGCCTGGGGTAGGAAAAGGGAGTAGTGGACTCATGCTGTGGAAGTGATAGTACCACAGATTAATCCAGAAACTTACTTTTCTCCAGGAGTCTTGCACGCATTCCAGAGTCAAGTTTAGAGTTAGGTTTACCTGGTTGCCCTCATTCCCAACGAGTCTTTTATAAACCCCACCTGAATTCTTCTCCCTTTATCCTTACTCCACTTTCTGCCACACATAACACTTCTGACCTCATAATCCCTCAACTGCAGCCTTGGGCCCCACCTACCCCTGGGGAGGCTAGTTACCTGCAACTGCTGTTAGCTTTCTCCTATCTGCTCAGTATGGGTCCCCTTGGCCTATGGAGTCCATCTGCTCCTCCGGGCCCTCAGCCCAATGGGCTTACTTGGCCCCCCCAAGACCTCTAGAACACCTTCCTTCTACATGACACATCAAGGGGCTCTCTGAAGAGACGATCTTTAGAGCATGTTTATCTACATCAAATATGGAGGTGAGGAGTAGCACAGAGCTGGGGCCTGTGTCTGGGGGAAAAGGGGAGGTTAGAGGGCAGTGGAGACCAAAGAGTTGGTATAACTAGAGAAGAGCCCACATGCCCTGTCCCTTCTCTTTTCAGATAATCAGCAGTTTCTGGTCAATACCAATTGTTCTATCGCTGTGTTGCTGCATTACATCCGCAAGAAAGTGGGGTTGACTAAAAAAGGTGAGAAGTTTGGGGAGGGGACTAATGGGCAAGGATCAGAAGTGGTGGGGTTATCTCAAGCTCCAAAACTCTCCTCCTGGCAAGAAAGGGGTTCCTTGTATCTCTACTTCTTCCCTATTGCCCTCCCCCCCGCCCATGTTACACTCTGAAGCAGCCTGTTCTGAATAGGA